CTATGATCTTTAGGGAAAGATTAAATAAAACCAATACTTGACACAAGAGCGCAGCTGTTCTTAAGTGAAAAAGTCTTAAAGGCTTAAGAATGATGAACAATGTTTTGATGATGCACTATGGTGAGACGAAACATCAACAAATCTTTAGGATTGACCACTACATTAAGTTGTAAATAGACCCCAACAATGTTTTGCAACTGTTTTCTTACATGTAATAGTACATAATACAAGAAGTGCCAATCTCATCTACTTTTCATGATGTTTACCAAATTAGGATTAACTGTATATTATTCAGTGGTCTACATCAGGCACAGTAAGAAACAGAGTATGAAATAGACAGCATTTATCGAGAAAGAACTGGCAATTTCTAAGTACATTTACATGTATGTGTGTGGGTGGGGTGGCTGAAAAACATGTTTTCTCTCTCTTCTGCAAAGTGTTTGTGTGTCTAATTGAATTGTATTTTCACAATTTTGTTAAGGATTCCTAGTGGTGCTCTAGGTCTTAAGTACATGGATGCGTGGCTGAATAGACACAGACGTTTTCTTGATCTTAAGCATTTTAAGTGTTACCCTAAGTGAAAGTAAATATCTACAGTCACATAAGTTTAAAGGCTTTACAACATGTGCTGTCTCACATTAAGAAAGGATTGCTACATATACCTTTGCCCCAATTCTTAAGTACATCCAGTATGTGTGTGTATTGATCGACTGAGAGGCTGGCAAACGTTATCCTTATTTTTGCAAACCTTCTTTAAAATTAAAGGTCTATGTGTATAATGGAATGTTACTGATGGCATAATCCTGTGCTGAAGGAGAATGTGTGTTCTGTTCAATATGTAACGACAAGCCATTTTCTCAAATTGGTAACCTTCTTCAGTTGGGCTTGACTGGGTCATTGTGGGCAAGGATTTTGCACCTGAGGCCTCAATTCAAATGGTAATACCCATGTTATATACTGTACTTGGTTGATTCAATATATTAAGTATATTACTTTCTACCTTTTTCTACCAAGACAGGTAAGTTGTAGAAGAATTAGTGTGTAGACACGATGGTCAGATTTGGGCCCAAAAGTCCCACTCCGCTACTATGGAGATCGAATCCCCCGAACCAGCGAATCTTGTTCGATATGACGTCATTCGAATAGAGCGGGCGTTCGATCCGGGGTTACCCGCGGTCATTTACAGTAAAGCCGCTACAACCGGCTACTTCAAGCCCTTTTTTACTTGGGAACCACGGAACAGGAAAAATCCACCTTTCCACAAATATGAACCGTTTTCAAAACATTACATCTATGCCGTGATTTTATTGTGGATATGTAACATGTAACGAAGCTACTGCCGTCATCGTGGGTGACCTTGAAGGTCAGAATTCTTGTTGACGCTGTTATAAAATCCAGGTCCCCATATCCAAGTGGCACAGCATGCGTGCAAACATGGTATTTTAACCATTCCCAAAAATCGCTCAAATTACCTTATTGAGGTCTTGTTTGGAAGAGGAACGATTTCCGCAGATTTCTGTCTTAGGGATTTTTTAAATATGGCCGCGATTATGAATTATCGGTATTTAAAGTTAAAACACTGCGTTTTTAGCTCTTCTTTTGACTGTAAGTCGAGTTTTAGTTAAAAATAAAAATCCTAAGACAGAAAGTTTAAATTTACTGTAATATTTCTAAAAATCCAAAAATCTAACCTTATTTTTAATTTTCGGGGCCTCTTAAAATCAGTTGTTTGGTTCTCGTGAACCCTTTTTGAAATCCGAAATTGATCTCATTTGGAAGCAAATGTACACAAAGTGGAACAAAGGCAGTGCAAGAATAACATTTGAGGTAAACAAAATCACTTATTACATTTTATATTGACGAGTATTAACTCTCCAATTACTTTTGTTTATTTTCAAATTTTACCCGTTGCCCCCGGGCCGGCCCGGGACTCCCGCGCGGCCACGTTCGAACACGTTCTGTAACCCGATACCTCCCTAGTAATGCGACTTTTAGCCTAGCAACCGACCGCCGTGAGATCAGAGCCAAATGCAATTGGCAGATCAAATGGAACTAGCATCGGATAAATTCAAGAGAGCTTTCCTCTTATATAACTGGTAGTTGTTGTTATTTTTATTCACAGAACAAACCAATAATTATTCTGTCTAACATACCCCTTTTGGTAGAAAAAGGTGGAAATTATTCTAGCTGAGCTTAGTTAGATTTTTAGTGTTCATGATAGAACATGTTCTGGTGATGTTTACATCAAAACTCCCACTTATCCTCAGAGACTCCAGGAAGCGGGTGGATTCTGACTGAAACGTGATCGGCTCTGTCAGAGGCCTTTTCCAGCTGTTTGATTTACTTTCCCTACTGTAGACTGCATTCAGAGAGATAAAAGCTGTTCATTGCTTTGAGTTTCCTTCCTATTCCCACGCAGGAATCCTGATTAATGGAACATTCCACCCACTCAGTATCTGTTTGATTACCCACATCCTGAGTTGAGACAAACATCCATGAGTGCATCATTTGCATCAATTACATCTACACATGTTGTATATCCTGTTTCCTGCTGTTTTTATACGGATGAAATAAAATCGGGCTCACTTTGCAACTTGATAGAAATGTTACAACAAATGCTACAAACTTAAGGCTACAAAGTGTAACAAGTCGTTCAGTGTAATGTGACCAACTGATGCTGTGCCACGTGCACGTGCCTGCAAACCTGGTGTGTTACACTGAAAGGCGGCTATACAGACACAGACATAACAAATAAAACAGAAATAAAACAAAAATTCTAAATGGCTGAATCATTCTATGTTTGAAAGGCAGCATCCTTGATGAACTTTCATGACTGACTCTTTGAAAGCTCAAAGTAAGTTGCAAGTTTCCGCTCCTGAGTCTGCAGGCTGTAACTATAATTATAACTTCAGCACCAAGGACAGGAACACCTGCTGTTCTTCACTTATAGTGCTGTTATTGATGCTGATGAGCAAAATACTTCAAAACAAGAGGCAGGAAGAAGACACTTATGTCTGGTATATGGAGACTACTGCCCACTGTGAGGGCCCTCGAGGTCCACACATCCTGATTGCCTCACTTTGAAACTGCAACCTTGAGGGAACCCAAGAGTCATTCTCGCAGAAGGCCTGGAAATGAGTTGGGTGCACGGAAATTGCAGAGTCTGTCCAAGCCCGCGGGTGACTGACTTTTCTAACAAGTACATTGCTTTTCATCTCCTACCCTTGCAATGTTGATTGAAAGTGATTTATCTTAGTACTGTGGTTCAACCTTGGGGCTGTTTTGAGAAAAAATAAAACGGAGAGACAAGACCCACAACTCACTGCTGATACAAGGGTGTGTGGATACTTAGTTTCATTCTGAATATTAACCATCCCACTTGTTCTGTATTGCAGAGGTGCACTCACTTTCATGGTCTCATACAGACCCTTAATGCAAATGTGAATACCTGAAATCATGTTTTCTATCTCGTAGAACCCACTTCAATAGATCAAGGCATCAAAGAATGAATTGATGTATGTACAAAATTCCAGACATGTAGTTTACTCTCAGAGGGAATCATTACCAATAACACAAGGAGAATGTTGATTTGCAAACTCTCATGTCAGACCAGGGCTCTAGTCAGCTCAATTTTTCCCCGTTATCCCAGGTTCATGATTGGATTGGGAGGGGGAAGGGGTTAGCGTGGGAGGCGCTTGGAATCTAGGGGGTCTGGGGGCTTGCTCTCCTGGGAAATTAAGGATTTTCAAGCCCTAAAGATGCAATTTCCTACACTTTCAGAGGCAAACACAGGGCTGAATACCTTCTGTTGCACATAGTCATGCCTCATAAAAGAGAATTTGTAATAGCAGCATAAGCAAAGCAATCAGAGACATCAAAACAGACATAAAGTGAATGGTAAGATGAGAGTGGTTTGTGGTATCAGACATGAAGGCAAGAAGCTAATAAGTACTGTAGTTACTTGCCCTGCAGTAGTTTTCAAAGGTTAGGCAGCACAAGATCTGATTATAAGAAGGTTTCATAAGAGACTTGACATGAGTTTTCCAATGAAAGAGCTTGAGGGAACAACATCAGTCAGTCTCAAATTTTCTGTCAGCCGCCATGCTGATTGACTGATGTTAGATTGAATCTGGAATGTGTAATTGCTTGTCTTGAGAACGATTTCAAACATCAAAGGTTTCCAGACGATTGACTTGGTTCAATGAACGGAAAGCAGCAGCATACTAAATAACTAATATTGCTGCTGTTGAAGAAATGTTTTCTACTTTTGGGTTGGCCACTAACAGAAAGGTGAGAAGTTTTTTTTTTCATCTTAGCTTTTCAATCAGTCCAGGATCATGCATGCCTCATCATAAGCAAAGACAAGTTAAACTAAAAATCATGAGTAACAACCTCTTGCTCACCTCTGGTTCTTTAAAGGCATTAATCTTGCATGACAGACTTAAAGATGAAGACAAGGAAGAATACGAGGAAGTTGTAGGAAGACAGGACGATAAGGAGAAAGAAGCACTGTTGATGCCCTCTGGGGACAAAGGACGGTATTGCAGGTATGCATGGGGGGTTGAATGTACAAAGATATATATATATATATATATATATATATATACATGTAATGTTGAATGAATATGAAACATGCAAGCAAAATGGTGGGAGATATGGCTTGTACAGATCACTTTCAAATCTGTAATGCCCTCTGGGGACAAAGGACAGTATTGCAGGTATGCATGGAGGCTTGAATGTACAAACTTAAGATAATGTTGAATGGATATGAAACATGCAAGCAAAATGGTGGGAGATACCGCTTGTACAGATCAATTTCAAATCTGTAATGCCCTCTAGAGATGAAGGACAGTATTGCAGGTAATATCTCTGTTCTCCATTTTTTCTGTCCGTAGTTCGTGCTACAAAGCTAATCCCTTTAAAGAAGATCATCCAGCATTCTCCATTCACTCATTCATTTCCATCCATGCATGTGAGAAAGACAAGTCATGTTTACTTACTTCCACCAGCAGTATCCTGCAATACCCAGTCCGATCACACCCAGCACACTGCAACCCACCACAATGGCTGCAAACAGGGTAGAAAAAAACACATTCTAATCCCATCAAAAATTTGCTCAACTTCATTCAAAAGATTATAACAGGAACAAAATGTCACCATTCTCTTCAGGCTCTATTTAGTACTGAAGAACAGAAAAAGAATGATATTAAAGAATTGAACTGAAAAGTGGAAAAGAAAATTTTGCAATACCTTTAGGCATTCTAATCATCATGATCGTCTAATTTTTCTGCGATGATGAAAAACGTTTTCAAGCTCTCGTATGCTAAACAGTACTACTTTATTATTGTGTTTTTCTGCTAAATGACAGTAAATGTTTTTTTATAGGGAATAAACCATTCTCTCTCTCTCTCTTTCTCTCATGGAGCACATCCACGTAGTTGCTTACCCAGAAAGAGGATGTCATTGATGCCATGTGCGTACTGGGTAGCTGCTGGGGGAGTGTTTTTCTGGGGCTGGGACTGAGGGCTGGAGCCCTGCTGCTCTCTCTGAGTCGTCGTCTGCTCTCCTCTCACCTCTTCAACATGGTTATTCCCTTCTGTACAGGAGACAGACAAGAAGCACACACTCAGCATAGAACATAGTAATACTGTATGATAGGAGAGACATCTACCAAGTCATGATTGTACTGCAGAACTGCCAGTCATCCGTAATAATGCAACTGCAGAGGAGACATCTATCAAATTATAGCTGCACTTGCAAGTGTAAGGTGGTTTGTTAAAGATGCAGTGCAGAGAAATTGGAAAATAGTCAATGTTCTGGCATCCAAAGAAATATTCAGCAAAAGCCTCTGTATGTTGTCTAATAGAATTATATCAAAGTGTCAGGTATATACATTTGTACAAGTCATGTACATTTGTATGATTTTTATGATTTAGATTGACAGAGCTATATACTATTATTAGCCATGTTTTTGTAAAAAAGGAATTTTATAGTAGCTGGTAGTTCACTCTTCCAAAAGTGGAGATATTCTAGCCGGCATTATCAAAATAAAACTGCCAACCACACCACTAAGTCTTGCATAATTTCATACCATTTTGATTCACATTTCTACATGAAAATGTCAAGAACTCTGTTCCAACTCTCAAACGTGACTTTCTAAATCCTTTTAAACCCACGCAGGGATATGAACAGACTAATCCTGACACAATGTCACCTTTGATCTTCTTCCTCAGGTTTGAGCCGAAAAGCAATGAATATCAAGTGTACAGATTTCCTGGAAATTGCCAGGAATTACTCGAACTATAAGTAACAGAATCAGAAAGCTGCAATCTAACAACATTTCAGTGGTAATGGCACGTCAGCTTGGATTTACCTACGTGGGTTCATTCTCATTATCCCTAAATTCCAATGAAATACTGGCTGTACAAAGAGATTATTTCCAGATTTATTAATATCCCGTTGGTTGAACCCAGCTTAAACCTTGCCTAATAAGGTACTAAAAGATATATTAAGAACTTTGTTGAAAGAAGAAATCAGAAATTCATATCTCTGTGAATTATTTACTACATGTATAATTACATGTAGTACATGTACATGTAGTTTTTTTTTCTTCATTTCTATTCAATTGCTCTTCCAAACAAACTAATAAATTCTAAATAACCTCTCCTAATTTTAGTCAGGCACAGCAAATCAACCAACTTATAATTAGTCAACAACATGTTTCCTGCAGTTTTTAATCATACATGTAGCTATAGCCTCAAAGAAGGAATATGCTCCCAGGGGACGGGACATTGTGAATATATGAATGTTAATTTAGGCCTTACATGTATGTATCCTCGCACGTATACGCAATGCCCACGCACATGAATATTTGTAGGTAGCTGAATGGTAGGTTTACAATACAAGAGGGACAATCAAGACTCTGCTATTATCAACATCCTGAATGATAGATGTTGAATGATAGATCATTTTGCATACTTTCGAAGGTACTTTGTCAATAGTACATGTACATGTCATAGCAGCTGTACAATATAATGTACAAATGTATAACCCATACCACAAATGTATTAATTCAGTGTTTGAAATACCCACCTGCAGTATGTATTTTGCATATTACAAATAAAGAAAAATCAAGCAACCTGCTTAGGTTCTAACTTAATGTGTTTGAATTTGCAGAAAGTATTTCTGAATTGCAGATAAAAATTTTGACATTCTGCAATTACTGCAGAACACTTTAAAAAGGATTTTATCCACTGAGTATAGATTGTCAGTTACTGTCTGTTGAACCCTGCCCATACCATCCTTACCATCGTATTTTCCAGCGGTCGTCTGTTGTCCACTCAGGAGCCTGTCTTCTGTGATCACATCGACTCCTGGAGGAACATTTCTACTCTTTTCCTGATCTGTAAAAACAAGAAAAAGGAGACAAAACTTAGTGATCTGGCATATTTATTGCAACATACTGAGAGAAAACATAAAAAATATACAGTTGATGAACTGCCATTTTATTTGTCAGACACTTTAAGTGGACAGAACTCTTAACTGATTGTGTCACTGACATTCATTGATAATCCTTGACTCAACATTTTACGTACTTTTTGTATGTGTACATGTACAATCATGTGACAAGAATCTGCAAAACACTTGTCAGTTGTTGATCACTTAAATACTCATTAATATGCAGTATTCCTGAAAAATAGTATGTATATTATGCCAGAAATTCTATATTTAGTAATAAATGGAAAACCCTCTGAGTCAACATTGATATGCAGTTGCACGTCACAACCCCGAGGGGTGAGATTGGAACAACTTTAAAAGGAGAAGGATCTTTGAACTTGATCTCTGAGAGTATTACGCAAATGCAGAGCAGGGTTTTAGTACTTAGTATATGGCTTCTGGATAAGTAATACTCCAGGACCTGTGAATGTCAGGGTTATCTGTCAGCAAAGGTAAAGGTGTAAAAAGCTTGCATCTTGAAATATACTGCTCCTTTTTAACTTCTCAAACAATGCCATATCACAGTATTCTTACTATGTTACATGCATGCATGTCTAATGCCTGCAAGGCAGTGTATTAGGGTGCAACGTCAAACTAGATAACATCAGTGTGAGTAATGTACTAGTCATCTCTACTGATAGCTAACTATATTATTAGTCAAGAAATCAACATTCATATCAATAAGCAGCAATTTATTACAGGCATGCAACATACATGTAAATCACTTACAACTGATTCGATCACCAACAATACTAAGGATCTGGCATTTTATTCACTTCAAAGTCAATCATTTATGAGGCTAATTTTAAGATCTCAAGGTACAACAATTACAGCCAACACAGAAACAACAGACACGGGCAGGCGCTATTGATATTAATTAATGATAAGCACATGCTACAAAGGGTAACTGCTTGTTAGGCAGCCATTTTGAAAGTCAATTTGTGGCTTGGGTCAAGAGAGCCACCTGTAGCTGTGCTTATAAACAGACATGAAGGCTTACAGTTTTCACTTCTTGGCAATAACAATAGTAAGCAATTATAACTGACTCAGAGGTTTACTGTATTTTATCAAAAAAGAGTCTGGCAGAGGTTACCAGAAAACTGTCACCATGCAGGTTGACAGAATTTGTTTTTACGAAACCACATAATCCAGTTTGTAACAATTGTGTTGAACATACTAGTTGTGCCAACTGGTGATTGTATATTTTGGGAGCCATCCAAAAAAGCCCAAAGAAGACAGAAACCAAAAGATACAGCACTTCCAATCGTTATTTGAAGTCAAATTATTGTTAATGCACCTTGCACCTTCATAAATGAATCTCCATGAACATGTATAATCTAATTTTGGCACCCTGATAAGCAGTAATAAGTAACTGCGTCATGAAGGAAATGCAACTTAGTCTATTTCAAGTTTTCAACCTTTCCCTGGATTAAAACCAGATCTTCTTTGCCTACAGATTGACACCATGCATGGAGTGTTTTATCCACAGATTTCACACGAGTTTTCCTGAAAAATGCTGTTAAAAGCTTTTTTTTCAAATGTTTACGTTTACCTGTTATCTAGGTGAAAGTACCACCTAACTTTGCTCATACAAAAACTTGTATGGTGGATTACATTCAAAATTTATAGCATCTGCTACATGTATGAGTGTCTCAAAAACCGTTTTATGTAATGCCAGTGATTTTGCAATAAAATGTGAGGCTACCACTTTTTCACAGTCTCCTTGCTAATGTCAGACAGTCACTGCCATTTGAATTTTTCAATGGTCCAGACACGCATGTCAGACCCAGACAGTTACATTGTACGTTGTCTGTTACTTACAAATGATTCTGTCAAGTGTTTTCTTTCCCCTTATGCAGTGTTAGTGGGTCTTTTTCGGTAACTTGTAAGAGCTACTTCACACATCCGGTACTGTGATAGCTATATCAGATGAGTTTTAAGCTACCGGCATGTACAAGTTTCCCTTCTTCAACTTCTTCACACAAAGTCGTATTTGATGGATTACAGATGGATATTTTGTCCATTACATTTGTCTAGACCTGGGTTCATGAGGTGTTTGATGTGTTCCCAGGGCACCTTTCTGTAAAGTACATGTACACTTCCTAAAAAGGGCTTGTTCACACTCTTGCTATCAAAGTACAGCTAAAATGTCCAGACCAGCATTCATGACAGGGTTTGATGTGTTTCCAAGGCACCTTTCATTAAAGTACTAAAAAGGTCTTGTCCACACTCTTGCTATCAAAGTACAGCTAAAATGTTTGAGGCTGTTTTTCTTATATATAAGCTTGCTGCAGCCATTTGATGGATTACATCCAGAGAGATCTTACAGACCTGCCAACAAACCATTCCCTGCAGCTGTCGTTTGAAAAGCTTACAATTGTGATAACCTGCAACTTCTTTCCACATTTCTATAGTTCCATTCATTGTAAGATGTTTACAATTTTTTGGGGGTGGACTTAAATATGGTAACTTCAGGAGCACGCTCTTTAAAGAAATTCTACAGTATCACTTGATCCCCAGGCTGACCCCGACTCACACAATAGGTGGCTACCTGGTGACTACTTGATGGATTGCGCACATCCGGATAGTTCCTAAACTTCCCACTCATAGTTCCATCCATGACGTGTTATCTGTCCCCTCATGCTGCACTGGTGCTTGTGGGTTTGATGGATATAATACATGAGTCAACAGCCCTGCACACTACTTAATCATGGTCTGCCATGCATCACCCTTGCTCACATGAAACTAGATTCTCATTACGATGGGTGTCACTTATAGATATATGCTCCAAAAGACACTGCACCTGTTTCCTTCATAGAAATAGATGGTTTTTGCTGATGGAGGAAGCAACTTCTTACAAGAGTAGACAGCAAAATGTATTAGCCTGCTGCAAGAACTTTTCCCTCACATAAAACTAAATTGTAAATCTCCGCTACAATATATAGACTGTCATATCTGACACAACATAGGTTGTCACATCCATAGTAAAATGTTACCCAAAGTCCAGTGACCACCTCAGTCTGTATATATCAACACTACCAGGTGCATAGCCATTGTGGCCATTTTTGGTTGTCCCTCATATCACTTCAAATTTTTCTTTTCACTTCAATTCCGTCTACATTTATAGTGCATTTGTTATAAGTATACCGTGAAAATTTTCAGCAGGTCCCTTGTGTGTTCACCACAGACAGGTTTGACTTAGTGCTCTGACAAGGTTAATGTTACAGCCTTCACACGTGAACGGACCATTAACTAAAACCACTTAAAAGTGCTGAAACAGGAAAAGCTACATTAACTATGATATAATGTGCGTGCGTCATAGCACATGCAAGTGGTTGTCAGGCACACAGTCTTGAGCAAACTTTGAATTCTACGCAAACAACTTTGGAGTTAGTCTTTTGTCACTTAGTGGTGTGTAAAGGTGGACTTCCGTGGACCAAACCAGAAGCTAGTCCCCACCATAAAAATCCATAACAATGTTATCAAAACATGAGAGGAAAGAATAGCTGTGAGTACATTTCAGTGAAACATTAAGTCCTTGACATTAACATTTTCATAACCATGAAAACACATTAGAAAAGTATCCTTCAAGTAGTACTACAATACTCTCCATCGAACATTTCATAATATTGTCTAAAAGTTGAGCAAAATCCCTGTATTTGAACCTGGTGATCTATTAAGATACTCAAAATTTTTGCATTCAGTACAATATACCATTGAAAATCAAAGAGTTCGTTGAAATATTTCAAAGTATGAGTAAAGTAATGAGTTCAAAGTATGTTGGGAGCAAAGGTTGGTCGTACTTGAAGCCCACACAGACGAAGATAACCTTCCTGCTCTTTATCATTCTGCTAACAACTTTTGTACAGTCCTGTAAAATTTCTACAGTAACTGTTGTGAAGTTTGACTTGAAAAGAACTAAGTCTGAGAGTGAGAGACTCCAAGAAGCTTAAAAAAAGGTCAGAGACACGTTTTCAACACTTAACGTAACGTGTTTGATGATTATTATCACAGGGCACTTTCCTGCTGGTAGGTTCTCAACACCTGAGGCCTGAAAGACTACAAAGAAAGCACATCTAAGACACTATACCTCACCTTTTGAAGCTGGGGCCTGGCAGTGTACGCTCACCAAACATAAGAAAAGGGAAAGAATCCCTGAAATCTTCAAATTCATCCTTCTACTTAGCTGCTTTTTGAGATCGATTTTTAGCCAAGTGGCATGCTCTTACACCAACCCGGACGTTGCCATTGTGCAAACAGTTTATGTTGACTGTTGAGTGTACCACGACGTAGGATAAAGTAGGCACGGTCAATACAGTTAATGTTTTACATCGTCCTACCCCCTGCAGCTTTAAATACCTTGACTAACATCATGATCATCATCCTAAAAGTCTAACCGCCTAAACAGAAGGGGTACATCGATTCCCTACAGCAAGAAATTGTGGAACATAGAGAAAAAAACAGAACACTAGAGGCTTAATGATGAAATATTGTTAGTACATAAGAATATTCATAATGCTCTTACTAGACTGAATAATGTCTATTTTTGTTACAATTACCACTAATAGGTATCATAACAGTGTGCATTAGAGCAATCCTCGTTCATTTGGGATTTTGCAATTAAAGTTTCATGTAATCTTGCAGCTTGAAGGGATCATTTGTACATTGTCATGATGCTCAAAGGGCTTCAGAGCCTAGATTAGCGTCTGAATCACTCCAATAATGCCTGTAATCAGACGTCCCCTCCCTACTTATCTAATCCTGTCAGACTCCACATGGGGATCCCAAGACGTAACGTTTGAAATTTCGGGGATAGAAGGAATAATAATTGTTTATGCCGCTTTACAACCTGGGAATAAAAGACTGGTAACAGCTGGGGGTGCTGACATCATACCTAGTGGCCCCA